GGGCCCGCACGGCCGGAGGAGCCATGGGAGGGGGGGCGCCGCGTGGCCGGAGGAGCCAGCCACGGGGGTGGGGGGGGGCGTGGAGTGACCAGAGGAGGAGCCAAGGGGGGCGTGACCAGAGGAGGAGCCAAGGGGGGGCGCCTTTTTAATGTTTGCTCCCCCTGCTCTTAGAACCTGGCTATACCACTGGGCAGCAGAATGTATTTGAAGTGGGCAGTGGGGTCTGAGCAGGGCTAGGAGTGGGTGGTGGAGTACAGGCAGGGCCTGGAGCCTCAGTCTGCAGTTGAGGAGATTTCCTTCCTGTGTCAAAGGGCTGAGGCCAGTGCATACCCCCTTGATACTGGGCATTCCCTAGTGCCTCCATCAGCTGTGGTACTCACTGTTTCTTGGACACTGTAGATTTGAATGCATGGCCATTGCAGGGGCTGGTGCTTCCCTAACAGCATTGCATGTGGGTTAGAAGCATAGGGGCTGCTTATGAGAGGGAGTCCATCCTGCATTGCCTGACACTGATTGAACATCTTTTTGGGGGTCATCACTGTTCTACCCCTTACATCACCTCCCCCGCTATAGGCTCTGCCCTTCTCTTAGGCAGATGGGGCCCATTTCCTTCCAGAACCTGGCAATACTGCTCCTTCCGTTGGCTATCATCCTGCTGACCATGCAGCATGGCTACATTGCTATTTTTAGGGTGCTAGCTTGATCAAAGCTAGTGTGGGTATGTCTGCCTGAGCTGGAAATTACACCTCCAGCTCCACTGTAGGCATTCCCCATGTATCAGGGCCAGGAGCACTGACACATTCAGATGCAATGAGCCACAGTGAAGAAGTTTCTGAGGATCCCATTCTGTGCAGTGTATGGGACCTGAACCCTGCCCTCCCCCCAATGCTTGATTTTTGTTTTGAATGAGATTACAAACTGGATTGATAAAGGTAATAGCAGTGAGGTAATAGACAGACTTCAGTAAGGCATTTGAGATGGTATCACACAAAATCAACACAGCACACATTAAACACATTAAAAACTGGTTAATTGACAGGTTTTAAAATGTAATTGTAAATGGGGACTCATGAATGCGTGGGTGTGTTTTCTAGTGGGTCCAGCAGGGATCAATTCTTGGCCCTATGCTATTTACTATTTTTATCAATGAACTGACCGAAAACATAATGAACTGGGCAGGTCATTCAGATCACTTGATAAGCAGGGTGCAAACAAACAATATGTTTTTATACATGTAAAGTCCTACATCTAGGAAGAAAGCATGCAGGCCATACTTACAGGATGGGAGATGCTATCCTGGGTAGCAGTGACTCTGAAAAGGACTTGGGGTCCTGGTGGATAATCAGCTGAACATAAGCTCCCAGTGCAACACTATGGTCAATAGAGCTAATGTGATCACTGAATGCATAAACAGAAACCTCAAGTAGAAGTAGGGATGTTATTATCACCTCTGTATTTGGCATCACTGCTAGAATACTGAATCCAGTTCTGGTATGCTCAGTTCAAGAAGGATGTTAATAAATTGGAGAAGATTCAGAGAAGAGCCATGGGAATGATTAAAACAGACTCCTGGTGCTCAAGCTATTTAGCTCAACAAACAGAAGGTTAAGGGGTGACTTGATCAGTCTATAAGTACCTTCATGGGGAAAGAGAATATCTTTTGTTAGACCAACTTCTGTTGGTGAGAGAGACAAGTTTTTGAGCTTACACAGAGCTCTTCTTCAGGGGCCCTCAAAAAGAGTTCAGTGTAAGCTCAATAACTTGTCTCTCTCACCAACGGAAGTTGGGCCAATAAAAGACATTACCTCATGGACCTTGTTTCTCTAATATTCTGGGACTGACTTGGCTCCAATATCTCTGTATACATGGGGACAGGAGTTTGATAATAGAGGGCTCTTCAATCTAGCAGACAAAGGTGCAACAAGATCCAAGGGCTGGAAGTTGAAGCGAGAGAAATTCAGACTAGAAATAAGATGCAGTTTGTTAACAGTGAAGGTAATTGAGCATTGGAACTATTTACCCAGGGTTGTCGTGGATTTTCCATCAGAGGACATTTCTAAATCAAGATAGGATGTTTTTCTAAAAGATTTGCTCTAGTTCAAACAGGAATGAATTCAGGGCAGTTCTATGGCCTGTGTTATGCAGTTATGCAGACTAGATGGTCACAATAGTCGATTCTGGCTTTGTAACCTATGAATCCTCAGTGCCCTGTCAAGGACACCTGAAATTGTGAAATTGGGAGCACTTTAGGCTGAGCAGCTGGGACCGGGAGGGATCCTGGAGAACCGCTACTGAGAATCCTCTTGGCTGGATGCAGAATCCTGTTCTTGTTCTGAGCTGCTCCAAGCTGCATCTGGCCTGAGAATGTCTCCCTGCATCCCATCTGGAGGGTGCATCTTCTCATTTCCCCAGTCAGTTTCACAGCCAATGTCAACAGTGAGAGCAAATATAGAGCTCTGGCCCCAGGATAGCACAAACCTGATAGGAGTGATTGCTGGGAGGGGCAGGGGTGAGGGGAGGGCATCAGCAGGGAGGTGAGGGTGGGGAGGCAGGGGAGTGCCCCTTGATGATGAGCTGACAGGGCATGGAGAGAAGCCGGGATCCCTCTCTGTGAGCTGGCAGCAGACGTGTCATATTGGGTGTCACTGTCTCACACCCTTCTGCCCTATGAGGAGAAGATGAGCTTTTGGGAGCCTTGTTCTGCCACTATTGGTAACGCTTCTTGAAGGAGGAACTCGCCCCAGAGCAGAGGGATTCCAAATGTCTCTTCCCTACCTTCCTCCTTGCCCTGCTCCATCCTCTTCAGCAGATGGTATCTATCTCCGGTATTCATAAGGCCCATCACCACAGCATTCAAATGTCAAACAACTAACATTTGCATGATGCAGCTCTGTCTCTTCCCATTCCTGGAAATGTTCTTCTCTTAGGGAGATGCCATTCCTAGGGGAGACCTCAGTGAAGAGATGGTTTTTGCCCCGAGATCTGAACAGGCTCAGCCTAAGCCACTCATGGAAGATTTGTTCTATAGCTGAGGTCTCATCACCACATACATTCTGCCCTGAACTTAGGTTTCCTGAGCTCTATCAGCCCTGGGGAGCTTTGTGTTATTCTGTTCTATATGGGAGATTCCCCAAATTACCCAGGGCAATTTCATGCCTGCTATTCTCAGTGACTCATTCCTTCAGTCCTGAAACTAGGCTCATTGTGCAATGTTGGGGAGTTTCCTGTGAAGTTTTGTAAAGAGGACACATCCACTTCTTCACTCTGTGAAATCCTAAACACCTTAAGGTGCTGTCACCAGTGAGATAATGTTGCTGTCCCCATGGTGAATTGCAGAGCTTACAGGGTTTCCATTTGTTAATCATTCCATCTTCTGAGATAAGGAGCTGTGGAATGTTCCCTATCTCCCAGCTGTCATGACATTTTACTGCCAGGTTATGTCCACTAAGGAGAGACCCTGGCACAGAAAGATGTGTCAGTTGAGAATCTGACAGTTGCTTCTCCTATCTCAGGCTCTCTGCAGCCTCCAGTGCTAAAGGAGGAATGAGTAGTTACTATTTATCTTAGGGTTTTATAGTACCATCCACATAAAATCAACAATAAAATCCTTCCTTAGAGGTTTTTAAGGTCAGGCTTGACAAAGCCCTGGCTGGGATGATTTAGTTGGGGAATGGTCCTGCTTTGAGCAGGGAGTTGGACTAGATGACCTCCTGAGGTCCCTTCCAACCCTGATATTCTATGATTCTATGAACAATAGCAAAGTCCTTAGTGGACTTCATAAAGTCTCTCACACTCCTCCCTTTTCAGAATCAAAACTCTTTAGGGTAGAGTGTGGGGTTGTATTTTGGGGGGTGATAGTAGTGGGTAAGGGTTTGAAAATAGAAGGGGGTGTTCATATTGTGAGCACCACATAGAGTGGAAAGGCTTTCTCAAAGAGGAAGACCTTGTAGTGGTTCCTCAAGATAGTCAGGCTCTGGATTTGCTTGATCACCTCTGGAAGACTGTTCCATGCATTGTCCCCAGCCCTCATGTGCTTTGCTCACGGCTTTGAGATTTTTATTGCTCCAGAGGAGTACAGCTGTCATGATGATTCACAGTTCAAAATTCGGTCCCCGCTGTAGCTGATCCATTAATTTCTTTGAAAATTAGGACCAAGGCCTTAAACTTGCCTTGGAGCAAGTGGAGGGACTTGAGCACAGGCCTGATAGGCTGCCATGAGCACATGCCATGGAGAAGGCGGGCAGCCACATTCTGTATCAGTTGGAGCCTGTGCATCATCTTGACATTCAGCTTCAGATATAATGATTTACTGTAACCCAGTCTGGAGGTGACAAATGCATCGATTAGTATGGACAGGTCCTTGTCCAGGGGGAATGGCTTAAGTTTCCTAACAATCTGAAGGTGAAAGAAGGCATTTTTGGAAACTGATACTGCCTGGTTATCCAGGCTTAGCAAGGAATCTAACAAGACCCTGAGGTTTTGTACCATTCTGACCAACGGGGACTGCATGCCTTCAATGGAAGGTGGAGACAACATCTTGGCCAGCTCTTCAAAGTGTTTCCTGTTTCCAACTAGCATCCTTTTGGTTTTGCTCAGGTTTAGCTTGAATAAGCTGCTCTTCATCCAAGAGCTTATTTCTTGTAGGCATTCTGACACTTTAGAAGTGGCAATGGTTGCATCAATTGAGGATGAGATAAACAGTTGTGTCCTTGGCATACTGTTGGCAACTGAGCCCATGAGGTCTGTCTCTCTCTCCCAGTGGTCTCATGTAAGTAGTGAAGAGAAGCAGGGATAGATAGTGTGGATCCAACAGGACCCAGCAGGTGAGGCCTTTGGAGAGGAAGAGCCACTACCCATCACCACTCTGGGTCTGTCGGAGAGGAATGATTGGAGTTACTGTAATGCTGAGCTGACTACTCCAGCTTTGTCACATAGGTATGTGTTAATAGCACCTTGTGGTCCACTGTATCCAAGGCTTCAGAGAGGTCCAGCAGAGTGAGCATGGAGATCTGACCTGTGTCCATGACCATGAGAAGATTGTCTTTTAGTGTAACTAGAGTGACTTTTGTGCTGTGCCTTGAGCTGAACCCTGATTCTGAGATATCCAGTGTGTTGGCTGATGTCATATGTTGGAGCTATTTTCTCAATTATTTTGCCCAGATATGGGAGGTTGGAGACAGGATGGTAGCTGAAGAGATCTTCAGGGTCAAGTGTTGGCTATAGTTGACGACTGGGTGAACTATTGCATTTTCCAAGGAGTTTGGTAGGTGTGCATCTCTCAGGGGCACTGACTATTTCCATTAGGAGTAGGCAGACTTGTTATTCTTTGGCTTGTACCAGTCAGAAGCGGCATAGATCTGTTTCGTAGGCTGTGGCTCTAATATGTTCCAGGGCTTTTTGAGCTTTGGCTTGTGTGATTAAGCCAGACTCAGTCATAGACCATGGGGCAGGTAATACAAATCATGTCAGGGAGGAATTTCCTGTCCCAGTTAGCTTCATAGGTATTCGACTGATCTTATCAGTGAAGTATGCTGACAGTTCTTCACAATGGTTGATGCTTGGCTCTGGAGTCTGGGCTACACAGTCGGGGTTGATTAGCTGGTTCATTGTATGGAATAGCTCTGATGGCCCTGATTCTGCTGCATTGATTGTTGATGAGTAGAAGGCTCATTTTGACTCTGTTACTGCAGTGGCCTAGTCCTGGAAGTGTTGTTTGTGCTGCTGGCTGAGGGATTCAGAATGTTTTTTGCATCTCTGGATGCAAAACTTGAACTTTCTGCGTGTGTGCCTCAACTGCTGTAGTTCATCTGTCAACCCTTGTGTCTTCTTGGTCAGTCGGGGGTGGGGGAAATGGATGGGTTGGGTGCCGATGGTAGTGGACAACAGGTGATTGTACTGTACTAACTCATTGGTGCTTTGGCCTTGTGTTTGTGTGGTTTTTCTCCTAGGGCGAGTTGAAAACCTAGGGAGTTCAGGAGTCTTCAGCGGTGGACCAGCTTTGGTTGTTCATTACCATTGTGGAACGGCTCTGGTCTCTGCCTAGATGAGGAAGTGTATGATGGTGACATCTCCAATATCCAGTCCTAGACTGAAGATAGGCTTCAACATATGTCTGGCTGCATGTGTGAGTCCAGAGACTGCCTGGGAGAATCCCATGGTTTCCACGTGGTTACTATTAGAAAGAAAACTCCAACCGCTCCTTAGCAGCTGAGTGGACACAGGCTGGTCCCCACTGTTCCATTCACCCCATTTTATTCTTCCTTCCTTTCTGTATAGGACTGTTCAATAGAGCAGCTTCTGTCTGGGCAGCAAGCCAGATCTACACCACCCTTCAGTTAGGAGAGAAAGTGTTTAATGCTTCGCAGGGACACACCGGCCAAACCAATTGCCTGGTTGAAGTGGGCACCACTTCAAAATAAATCAAACTTCACCTGACCCAGAAGGATCTTCTAGCCAGTAAACACTCAAAGGAAGCCTCTACCTTGTGAATATTCAAAAAGGAATTGACAGACAGAGCCCTGGGGTGGGACATGGCAGCTGGTTCTATGGCCAGATTCTCAGCTGGTGTAAACTGGCATATTTCTATTAACTTAAATAGAGCACTACTGATTTATGAACCTGAAGATATCTAATCGATCACTGGGTATTTATATCACGCTCATCACAGTGATTGCTGATTAATATCAACATTCTACGGCACTTTAGGAGAGGAGAGAAAGAAGAATCCTGGATCCAATAGAAACTGCAAAGGAATTTTAGGGAAGCACAAGGTTACGTAAACTAGTTAGCTTAGGGGCAGGGCCGGTGCAACCCATTAGGCGACCTAGGCGGTCGCCTAGGGCGCTAGCATTTGGGGGGCGGCATTTCGGGTCCTTTGGCGGTGACTGCGGCGGCCGGATCTTCGGCTGCCCCGGTTGTCATCGGCATTTAGGCAGAGGGAGCTGGGGTAGGGGGGCGCGGGGAGGGCCGCCTGCAGCAAGTAAGGATGTGGGGGGCGGCACGCAGGGGAACAGCTGATTGGTGCCGCAAGTCTGGGAGGCGGGAGAAGTGGAGCGGCGACGGCGTGCTCGGGGAGGAGGCGGAGCAGAGGTGAGCTGGGGCAGGGAGCTGCCGCACGGCTCCCTGGGCCGGGGGGAGCTGCCGTGGGGGGGGTGCCTCAGGGTGGAGGGGGAGAGCTGCTGCGGGGGGAGCACCTCAGGGCGGAG